CGGACAAAATATTGTTGGCCACGTGAGACGTGAATTATAGTGTTTGTTATAGAGCGACTGTTGAAATTAAGTGTATCGTAAAGCTGTATTCGGAAAGAATAAACCAGTTTATTTAAGATAGGACTTGTGTCCGCTAAAGTTTCGTCGGAATGAATTTACGAAAAGTTAACAAACGAACGGAGAAGTAACAGTACTAAAATTATGAAATATTACCTATGATATCTGTCAGGGGCTCTTCTTGTCCACTTGCTATACAGAAGTCCTATCGTCGATTTACTAATCGGTCCGCTCTTAAAAATTATGATTAAGAAATCTGGTTTCAGTATTTGAACATAAGTAAATACATTTTTAATGTGCAGTGAATCCTCGTTAGTGCAGACACCGATAATCTGTATTATTCACAATTCGGATTATTTTGTATATATATATATATATATCATATTCATGTTCCAAATCCGCACAGCTATTTTCTAAAACATACATGCATTTCCTATGGATATATGGTTCAATTATTCGTACATGACTCCAGGAAAGTCAAGAAGAGGTCAACCAGAAACAGGAAACGAGGTGATAATTACTGACCACAAAATACCTGCTTTCGTATATATGTCAGTTTGCGACATTTGTTCTGAGAACGACCTTCACAACCTATGACATACCGAAAATCATCAGACTACAGTCATGTTCGCGTCACAGTGCTACAGAACAAATACGCTGTTTATGCAACAAAGAAATACACATGCAAGCTTTGATACCATCAGTAAATGTCGGTGAAACATTACGAATGATAAATCTCGCCTGGTCTCAGTGTTGTTATGGAAACCATCAAGACTTTGCCACAGTCTGAACTGAGTGAAACTTTTGAGCCCGTTGAGATGCAGAAGTCGTTGCGAGATTGCTTATAGAATTCATTTTGGCAAAAATATAAACAACAACAAAAAAACATTTACTATCCAGATAATAATAATAGAAAACTTCAAATCAGCTAAAGTTCCACCATTGCAGCTCGATGAGGGTTAGTAATATGTAATTCGTACGTTAATATCAAGGATTAACGACGCTATGCCGGTTGATCAGTGGCCCAACATCGACTCAACAGGACAACTGGTTGACTGACAAATACATAATTTACATCGTGTATCTTCAAGACTGTAATGACAGTGAATTTGATATTATCTACCAGTCGAACCATTCAGTCTGAGTAATGCATAACCTAACCTTTAGAGAGTCAGGGAGCGTGTTACACAAGAAAGAAGCCACTATGGGCCAATCCCCTGGGCACGGTCGCCAGACATCACTCCTCTGGACCTTTAATCTGGGTTATTTGAAGTACATCCTCTCAGAAAAAAGGTGACTGGTCTGGGGACTGTAAGTGAACGGATCCCCGATGCAATAGCTAATGTGACACCAATATGTTGCTTCTTTCTTGTGTAACACGCTCCCCGACTCTTGAAACTGTTGGTACCTCTTTTTCATAAAATTCTTAACCAGTGGATCTCTTCCATACACCGTACGATATTGTCTTTGCATTGGAATAGGCAAGTTCATCTTTGTTAGCCACAGGATACACATGGCCTTTCTGTCGCCATGTTTGTTAATGACATATTTGGTGAGCACGCATGCGTTATACGTGATTACATTTAAAACGGCAAAAAACCCATGCTCGTCATCGACCACAAACCGTAAAAGTTAATAAAGACCTAAACGTTTATTATTTTTTCAAGTTTTCGGTGCTGATTGAAGAATGGAAACCATTTTCAATGAAGAAGACAAACAACAGATAAATTGTTATTTATTCTTCCCGACGTTTCGGCTTACGCCTTTTTCGAGTCTGTGAATGTCACAAGTTACAAAACAGTTTTTATGTTATAGCAACCGAAAAGAACACTATATCTATCAACAAAAAATGATAGAAAAATCAAGTTTTGATGGTTTAGACAACAACTGGAAATTGGTTTTTCGGTTACTATAATTCAAAATCAGTTTTGTAACCCGTGTCGTTCATAGTTCTGTTACGTCTCCGTTTGTTAATTGATTTTCCGTAACTTCGTTCCGACGAAACTTAAGCGACACAAGTTCTTTCTTAATAAAAACTGGTTTATTATTTCCGAATACAACTTTACCGATACACTCAACTTCAACAATCGCGCTCAACAAACGCTATAACAACGAACGTGCTCAATAATACTTCTGACTGCAGATCAATTACTTACTGTCTACCCACACATTACATTCCCCTCTTTTATATACCAGCCTACCCTATATCTAGTAATTACTAGAGCATTCGCCAAAGTACATGATAGTTCTAGAAACGTTGCGTCACAGTAGTCACGTGACTCGCTGACGCAACAATACTATCAGTAGTTTTATAGATCATGGTGGTGTGAGAGTGGTGTTGTGTATCATGTTGTATG